TTCATTTTGGCCTTTTCCAAAGGAATTCCTTTGTGCACCAACAATATACTTGTGCAGTAAAGGATACCATTTTGTCTTTATAATATATACAGTTGCCCGTGCGAATACACGGGAGCTATGTCTTACAGTTGTTTTTATCATCACAAATTAATATTGTGAATCCTCTCTCCATCTTCTTCAATATCATTCTCTACTTGAGTAGATTTTTCTTTGTCTTCATTCTTAGCATTCTTTGTTTTGTATGAGCTCGATTCACCGAACAACTTTCTAGTAGAATAATATTTCAGTGGGAATTGGATTCTTTTTTGGACTGATCACCTCGTCATCATCTTTCTCTGAGAATAGTATTTCAGCTGCGGCACTTCTTTGGGAATTAGATTATTTTTTGGACTGATCACCTCATCATCAATATTTTCCTTGTCATCCAGATCAGCTCCCTACAAATGTAAAATAATTAAATAATTAACTTCATATTCTTCAATCTTATAAATTTATAAGATTAGTTAATTATTAATTAAAATATAAAAAAATATAATTCCTAAATTATAAATTTATATACATTGAATTTAAAAAATATAAGTATATGTAAGTAGTAGAATCTTTGTAGAAATGTTTTGTTTCATTTTCTACAATAAGTTTAAACAATCTAAAATATATGACCATGATCAAGTTAATCTATTAAATTAGTCTCTCTCTATATATAGATAGACATGTATAGATTAATAATTACAATTAGTAATGAAAATTTGTAAAGTAAAAATTTAAGTCCAATATACGTCCACAACCCAAATACTAATCTCAAATAAAATTTTAGATTACTTAAAGTTAAAGAAAAACATAGATTAATAATTATACCGACTCATCCAATAACGTGTCATTCTCATGTGTATGTTTTGCAGTGAATAGTCCTCATGTGTGGGTTTTGAAGTGTCATCCGGAACCTTGTCCTCCTTGGAATTAGTTTTATGTGTGGGTTTTGAAGTGTCATCCGGAGGCGGCAACAAAATAGAAATGAGAACAACAAAATCAAAAACACACTTTAGAAAGGAGTAATATAGCAGTTGGGTGTTTTTTGTTATTTCTATTGCATATTGTTTTTCTGTGGCATATTATGAGTAAGGAGGAAATATTTGTTTTATTTTGTTATGTTCTTCTTATGTAGTATTTTATTTTATTTTTACACGTTATTGGACGAGTCTATTTTTTTTTAAGTAATCTAGGATTTTGTTTGAGATTAATATTTGGGTTGTAAACGTTTATTCTAACTTAAATTTTAACTTTACAAATTTTTATTAGTAATTGTACGTATTAATCTATATATATATATCTATCCATATATATATATAGAGAGAGAGAGAGACTAATTTAATAGATTAATTGATCATGGTCATATGTTTCAGATTGTTCAAACTTATTGTAGAAACTGAAACAAAAAATTTTTACAAAGATTTTACTACTTACATATACTTATATTTTTTAAATTCAATGTATATAAATTTATAATTTAGGAATTATAATTTTTTATATTTTAATTAATAATTAATTGATAAGCTTCTCAATTGTTGTGAGAGGGTCTGCCATGTGAGCCCGTGTGATCCTTCTCAGGTTCTTGTCAATGATTCCTGTTTTTGTAAGAAGAAGGTTGATGTTGTTCTCTGCGGGGATATGACCGTGAAGGGGAAACTCGAGGGGGACGGTGAGAACAAACTCAACTGTTGTAATCATGTCTGCCAAGAGATGTGCCATCCGGGCTCATGCGGTGTGATATATTTCTGCTGTATTAAGGAATTTACTACAAAACTTACTTAGTGTCGGGGTATACTATTTTATTTGTACCTTGGTGTGTTATTTATAAAATTTCTATTGTTTC